CACGAATGTAAGCTCTAACAAATGAAATTGACAGGATGAAATACTTAAATAATTTCTCCTCTAAACTAAAACCAAACATTATAATAGCTTAAGAAGTTACCGAGGTTCTCTCCCGGATCTGTGACATCCCCTAGTTCTTTCTCCTTTGGATCTACAATAAATGTTCCAAGTTTGAACCATTCCTCTTTGCACACCTCTGTGTCCGATTTCATTGAAAAGTCTTATTCTTTTTACCTTCTTGAAGATAATTTTTCCTGATTTTTATCGAGAGTATTCTTAGGTGACTACGGTTGTCTAAGATGTAATTAACTATAGGGGCTTGCCCTTATAGGAAGCTTTTCCGAACCCAGTTTAAGATAAACTCTATTTAATTTTTCATATTAAATAGGAGAATTTGTCGTTAAACCAAACGGTTTTGCAGACCAAACGGATGTCATATCTTTCTTAGATTATTTGATCGAGCCTCACTCTCAAGGTTTGTGTTTATCTTTCGGAATATATATAGGATTTGAGGTAAAACGCTCTTTCATTTAAACTATGAAAACTATGAAGTCAGTTTGATTTTCATATTTTTCTAAACTTGCATCTATATGTAAATTAACCGTCATTTCGAAGTGGGCGACAAGATTTCTATTCCGGTGACCGACAGCTTTCTACGGGCAACTCCCGTAACTTTTTTTTTAGTGCCAACATCAGGTCTTACAGACTTTCCCCATTGGTTTCATTTAAAGTCTCCTCAACTTCTTTTTTATTAATACGACAGTAAAATTGAAACTTTTTATTGATATTAACGATATTCAGATCACTAAGGTTGGTCGTATTTTCATAAACTTGATTAAAAAAATTCGTTAAAGTAACTCACCTACCTGTGTTGAATTACTTTTCTAAGAAAAACATCTTTTGATTTTCATCTTTAATACACTTTACTTTAATTAAATCTTTACTTTTCTTTTCTCTTTGTTTAGCTAGTGTATACATATATTTTTCACCCTCCTTAGTATTTAATTTATTATAAAGATCGCTAAAAACAAAATTTTTAGCGTCATAGATTATTTTTTTAAACTCCCTGCTGGTTATTTGATATTTTTCTCAGTTCTCTAAGTTTTTACATCTAAATCAATTTTTATGACATTTCTTATATTTTATCTTTTCTTGCACATTATTATTCCACCATTAATTATTTTTATTTATACAAACTTTTTCTTTTGATTCTCCAAGTACATCTTTTACTACTTGTTTAATAGTATTTGTTACTTTATCCCACATAACATTTGCTTCTTCATGAAATCCAAGTTTTGAAATCGTGAATTTTACTAAAAAAAATAATCTTATTTGTGTCATTTAGGTTCTCCCATCTAGTTCTACGATGATGAGTCCTAGTATTTTTTATTTTACAACATTTAATCTTAAAATTTAGAACTAATAATCGATATTGGTTGCTTAATTCCTCAATTTGAATGAGCTTACAATCTTTACAATTTCGATGATGTCTTCTTCTCATAAGAAAATAATCAATTTGTTTTTTATAAGAGCCATAATTATAAGTAATAAAATACTCATATTTTTTTCTTAAATAAAGTATTAGTAATAACAAAATCATACACTAAAGCAAAATCTAAAATTACTCTACCTTCTTCATTAGTCATTTCAAAATCGTAGCCACCATGAATATTTCAGAAATCTTCTTTCACTCTATCGACATGTCCATTTAAATCTCCTCAAATAAAATTCTTTCTTCAAGAGGTATTATTTGTATTAAGTATTCTAAGTTATTCCAGAATTTATTTTTAGACCCTATATCTAAACCTACATAAGGAGCATAAGCAGTTATAGCATTAAAAATTTTAGTATCAATAATAATCTTAAAGATTATAATTCTATCACCAATTCTATTAATTTTTACAACATTATCTTTAAAACTCTTATCTATAATTAAATCAACACCATTTCTAGTGCGCTTTTACAGAATACCAAAGTTTAAAACCTAAGTTATTAATCTCCTTAACCTTTTCTTCAACCCATTAAGTTTCTTGAATACATAAGATATTAATATTTCTATGAATCATAATATCAACTAATTTCATTAATTTACCTTTGAGAGCACCTATATTCCAGGATCCTATCCTAATATTAGTTTCATTAGTTTCATATACCAATTTTTTTACCCACATCTGTACATAATGTGGGAACCCTTGTTTATTGGACACTATATTCGGGAGCCGGTGTAGCGGTTCTTGCTCACTTTTCACTGTATTTAGAACATACAACACGTCGTTTCCATGGGACACCCTAGCACTAACACAATGATAAAAATGATTCATGTGATTTTTTCGACAAGTTTTACGATGGTTGTCAACTACTTAACGCAATCTTTCACTTTTCACATCCGAGTTTGGGATCAGCAATGACAGTGTTAAATATACAATTTACATACCTTAATGAAAAATATTCTAAACTTCTATATGCATTTACATTAACTTTATTTTTTTACTTTATACAATTTACATATACATATGTCTGTTTGAGGATCACTGTCACAAAACCTAACACACTTCTGGCCGATACTATTCTATCGGCACAGCTGTTAGTGATCTAAACATTACAATTGTCTGGGGTAGAAAAACCCTTACCTATCCTTTGCCAATATTATCCTGTCTGCACAATGATTAGCTATGTAAATATCACAATTGTCTGGCGTAGTAAATTTTGTCTATTTACCATATTATCCCGGCGGCAAAACGGTTAGTGATCTAACTATCATAATTGTCCGGGATGATAGAAAAACCTCTACGCACGCGGGTATATGGGCTTCCTCTGCTTGTACTATTACGGGTGGACCCTTCCTCTGGACATGCACATACAATCATTCATATGTAAACTAGTTCACTTTTCACAACATGTATTATTCTGAGACATCTTCACGCATCATACTAATATGCATACTTACTCTGTTGTGTAACAAATCATCATACAAAGCATGCATATCTCTCATATTATTCATATCTTCTATCTCATGCATATTTTTTATATCATGCTTATATTTCATATCATATACATCTCTTATCCCATGCACATCTTTCATATCATATACATTTTTTCATATCATGATTATCATGTATATCTATCATGTTTAATAATATGAATCATTTAACTAAATTGAAGCATACATTGAGTCAAATATACATTTTGAAATAAAGAAGATTGCTGAAATTTAGAAATATAATTACTCTTCTCAGTTGCTACGTTAGATTCTCAATATTCAGTAGCTAGCTAGGCGTTGCAATAACTTTTATGTCGATATTAATAACCTATAGGTAAAAAAATAAATTTAGTATTTAATTAAATTTTGTTAATCAAATTATTCTTCTTAGCATATAATTTATTTCCTTGAATTTACGGAGCCGTCCTATGATTAGCTTTTACACTATTGCCTCGAACTCGCCTTCTTGGGTAAACAATCTATAGAGTAGATAGACCTCAAGCTGTAGAGTAGATGGTCCTATGTTGCTAATATTTTACTAGAAAATCGAGTGTAGAGTAGATGGTACTCAAGGAGTACGTGTACAGACGTTGTAGAGCACAAGTTAATAGGTATAGTGAGTTAGCTTTTATTATCTATTAGTTGTAAATATTTATAATATGTACCAACTAGTTGTAACCTTAAGGTTTATGAATTAGAATGACTTTTTTGTTGTTGATTTTATTTTAATTATGAAATGAAACTGATATATACGTTTCTTCCATCTGACTGACAATTCCTACTTTGGTAATTCTATACTCCCAGGCTGGATCATGACAGGAGGATGGATGGCTCATGACAGGAGGATGGATGGCTCGTGACAGGAGGATGGATGGCAACCAAAAATCGGTGTGAACAGTGATGGGACGGCGAAGTGGAAGCAGAAAAAGGGCACTGCTGTAAGCAGTGGGTGGCAGAGATTTTGACGGTTGTTTGATTGAAAATAAGGGGCGAACGATTAATTGGAGAGGTGAAAAGAGCGACAAGGGTCCACCACCAATTCTTGAGCAAATTACATACACACCACTTGCTAAAGGAAGGGGCTGCAACACTCCAAAGAGAATAAAATTAGATAAATATCTCCCAAAATACATATCAAGCTAAAATCCAAAATCTAGAATACCATAAATAAAAAAGTCCCCTATTAAAAATAATTTTAGTAGAGACTAGAGAAATAGGTAAGAATCATAAAAGGAAGAAGCAAAGGAATGAAACTCGCTGAAAATTAAACTCGCTGAAAAATGAACGAAAGAAAATCAAAATAAATGAAAAATAAAACTGCTGCTAGTGTTGGACTCCAGCGATTGTGGGATCCAATACTTTGGAATCACAATATCGCGAGACACTGCTTCTTGCCCTAGAATTGTTTGTTAATTTCTTTTTTCCATCGGCCTCATTTGTTGCAATCACTAATGGACAAAAAGATATGTACTCTTTATATTTCTGAGCAATTTACCTTACCCTTGAATTGAACTAGCTAAAACATTTCTCATACACTTCCATGGTCGGATATGTGAAACGCTTATAAGTTTTTTCTTAATATTTTTCCCATTTACACGCTTTAGGGGAAACCAGCTGTACAATGCAAACTCCATGATTATCTTTCGTCCAACAATTTATGACTTCTTAATTTGTTCCTTGTTGTCCGAGTGCAGTTAGCTGTTTCAGCTCTAAGGGTTTACTCTCACACCCATTTCTGATATTTAATCATTTTTTGTTATCTTTGGACTTGTCTGAACAATATTTTAGGCACATGACGTACTCATACTCCTTGTATGATGTTGACTCCCATTCATTAATAAGTTAGAGCATTATCTTTTGTGGCATGTTCCTTATTCTATGGATACTTTGTTAATGTTATTGCGTTGTTGCCTCTACTAAAATTATTGTGCTTATTCATTTACATTTTGCTTCAAATAGTTTAATGAACTTTTATTTTAATTTATTTTTAGAATTATATACATTTTTTTATTTCTTGTAGGGAGGCAATGAAGTTGTGGCAATTTTTTCTAAGCTTAGCCAGATTATAAAGTTTATCTACAAGTTTGTCTTTTTTGAGAATGGAATATGGATGAAGTGCTTTGGAAGGTTAACCTGGTCAAGAATGTCAGATCTTATCATATCACATTCTCTTTCCAAGGTTGGTGCTTTTGATTTGATGGAAATGCCGAATTAATAGAACAGATGTTTCGGTATTATGCCCATGATGCCTGTCTAAGGGTATGCTGCTAACGTTGAATGAATGGACTGTCCTTGAAGTTACATGAGTGAAAGATAAAATTCCTAGCAAGTACACAATCATGAATCAGATTTATCATAATAAAATTTCTCTTAGAAGTTTTTAATTAATCCTGCATTCCAAAATGCCGATTATCTTCAGCTTCCTTTTGTTTTGTAAGAATATGCTGTAATCTAAGTATTTTTTTCATGGAATAGTACTGGATTTCAAAATACTTGTTTTTAAACTACTTTTTTGGATTATAGAAGTTCAAACTAATTTGAGTTATTTTGCGGTTTAAGCCTCATATAGTGGTGATCATTGTAAAATATTAACTTCAAATCATATTTTTTATGTGAGAAGGGTTATGCTCAACCTTTACTGACGAATTAAGAACAAGCACAAATTATGCATATTATGTGTCATGAGTCAGTATGCCACAGTTAGCTTCTGTCCCAATGTTGGGGTTAAGCTGGTCGAGCTAACATATCTCCATAGCTAGGGAATGATGAAATATAATTTAAAAGCACGCTACACTTAAGGTTAATGAATACCTAGTTTTCTACCTCTTCTTTATTACATGTGAGAACCTGAAGACATCACTGGTTTTTCAACAAATCAAAAATAAGACTCCTGCAATGACTTTATAGCTGTTGATTTTCTATAGGTTATGATATTGAAATACAGTAAAACCATATGATTACTACCGAGGCAAACACAAGTAAGAGACTTTGCTCTTTAGACCTTTGCATATCCGTAACTTCCTGTATAACTACTTATACGCTTTTTGCCATCCAATCAAAAAAACGCATCATACTAAAAGGTTCTACTAAAAGCTGCATTCATCAGAAGACCTGTGGTTACAACAAATGCATAGACAGAAAAAAGGGCCTTGGTCGGAGGTGCCAAATTGGAATGGCTACAGATTCGGGCCAAATCCAAAGATGACCTATAACAAATATGCTTTACTTGAACCCACCTTGTTTATTATCTAGATAAGAATATTTAACCCAAACATAACATGCTTTACCTGCCTCGCTTGACTTATTTATTATATGGTTTGTGCTTTTCTTATCTCGATCCAATTAATCTGATTATAAGCCGATTAACCCAATTAGTTGTCCCCAACTCGTATATTAATCAGGTTAATTTCAGCTTATTCAGGTCAACTTGAATAATCAGGTTTATAATTTTGATCTAGACTTAACCTAAATAGTAATTGGATCAATCCAAACTAGAATTTCTTGAGTCGAGTTCAGTTCAGGTTATTTATTATCATGCCAGTCTTGGTGACATATTATGCCAAGTGTACAGATGATTAGATTTAGTTTGCCGAATGATTTGAAAACCATATTGATGAAGTAAATGAAAATTGTGGGAGTAGATCTTGCTAAAGACATGAATCACTCAAAGAAGAGGATCGCTTAATTTATGAATCTTGGCTACATTCCTGCCTTATTTTTCTGATTATGGGTCAAGAAAATTGAATCATGAATTTGAAAGAATGAAAGTTTGAAGCTCCGAGTAAGAAGTTTCTTGACTTTCTTTCAGACCTGAAGATCATTCAATGAAATATTTTATTCTGTTTAGTTGAATTTCAGGATGTTTCTTCCAGATTTTTAAATTGTACAAATTTTATTCAAAGCTCTGAGTAAAAATTTCCTGTGTTTATATAACATAAAGATTCTACTACTGACGATTGATTTTAATTCATAGGCTACATTATAAACACAAAGATTCTACCACTGATGATTGATTTTAATTGATAGGCTACATTTAATGCTTAGCTAACTGGCCATTGTCCAGAGAATTACGCTGAAAGTTCTCGGCCAAAATAAAAATGCAAGCCACGGAGCATTTTCTGTACATTTGTTTTCAGGAGAGCTAAATTCAGACTACATTAACTTTATGTCGAGAGGGGTATTTACATGGAACTGGAGTTGTACACAACCAGAAAGGAATTTTGGGTGCATTAGCAGCCTACAGCTAAAAGTTGGTTATGAAGTGGCAGGCATTGGAAATTTGCTTACTGTATGCTACATTAAAAACGCACAAGTTATCTAATGGGGAAAGTTTGCAGAAAATTTCTCATTGAAGCCTAATATTTAAACTGTATCTTTTCTAAATGGTATCAATTAGGAAGTACATTTTGGTCATTGCTGAATTTGCTCTGATGACTTACTTTATTCAAGATTTTGGATTAAAAAACAAACTTTTCAAGAATTTTCTGTACTAAGATATCATTCATGAAGAGATGGTGAGAAATTTTAGAAGGGTATGTGGTCACAGATAAAGTCCATTGTCATTAGAAATGCAGAATTATTATTATCTATTTGAATGGTGTTGTGAGGTTTCCTTGCTATTTGGAGCAACCTATGTTCAGTTTTTGAATTTTATCATCGGTCATTTGTTTTTGCAGATTATTAAAGTTCAACTTCAAATTGTGAATATAACATATGATCAATCACGAATACATTTTACGTTCCATCTATTGTGCCGAGACATTAATTTACGGCACAATGGAAGAGGCCAGTCTCTGTTTTGTGTTTTTGTTTGAATGCAATACAATATATGTGACCTTCCAGACAGCATGACTACCACTAGTTTATTTTGCAATTTAATGCATAAAATTTGTTGCAAAATTTATCTTCCCTCTTGGAAATCTACAATGTAATTCATATATGGTGCATCTTAAACTATTAATTGCAAATTTCAAGAGATCTTTTGCATAAGGGATGAGAGAGCCTGTTGTATAGAATGCAATTAAGGTAATGTACATTCTAGCCTGATTCAGAATGCATTTGTAGAGCTTTGTTCCGGGATTCATTAGTCTTACCTATTTTTAAGTTGTCCATCCTTCTATAAATATGAGTTTTACATAATTCTCATTGATATTTGATATTGAATGACATTTTTTATTTTATTTATTTTATTTTATTTTATTTTTTGATGCGAGCCTTCCATTCTTCTAAAGTGCAAACTTTGAAGGACACGTACCTTTTCAACTTGATTCTTAGTTTCTTTTTCACTATAATTTTTCCATCTTATTTACTCTTTTTTATTTCATTTGGATTGCCTATAATGCTGAATTGTATCCATTCAAATCTTCTACAACATGGCTTAAAAATTTGTGCTTGCTATCTGTGATGCTTTCATGAGCTTGTTTTTGTAGAAGATTTTTCTTTCGATGAATCTTTTATTGTTTGTTCAGTGGACTTCAGTTCCTTTTTATTATATTTGTTTCTTGGTAGTAAATAATTGCTCGTTTGATAGCTTGCTTTCAATCAAATCTTGCATTAGATTTTTCTCATCGTTACAAGAAAATCCATACAAAATTGTGCGGCATTGTTTCATTTACGTGGCTTTGCATAACATTGCATTAGTTTTAATATAGAACTAGACTTTATATATCTTTAATCATTTTGTATAGTATATGGAGTTGTCTATCAGCTATTGTGTCTGTTAGAAGCTTGGTTAACTGACCCATGTTTATGGAAAACAAGCTAAGACTTTGGTAAACTACTTTTTGCCTTATTTCTGGGAAGCTTGAAAAGTTCTGAAGTCCTGCTTTGAGTTGTACTAATGTGGTGCGAGTCTTACTCATCCTTCAATATGTTTGTCATATTTTTTTTGGTAGTTTCTCTTATCTCACTATGGTACATATGATCTTTGTGATAATTTTGTCAAAAGCTTTGGAATATATTTCCATTATACAGTGGGAAGTCTCCAATTGATTATAAAAACCTCCATCTATTCAGCCCTAATTAGGGTGCTGTTTCTTATGCTACTATTCTTTTAAGTAATTCTGAGGAGTTTTTGAAAGCTTTGTCCTGAGTTGCTCAAGCAAATTAAACCAAGTTTTTGTGATACTTCTTGAGACATGAAGTACCAAAAGGTCAGGCCAAAGATGGGGGTTGCATGCTTACAAATGTCATTATTGATGTTACAAGTAAACTATTACATGAATACTTGTAACTATGAATGATAGGGAACAATGAGATTTCTTACTCCTGATATTTAACAAAGACGAAACTCAGAGAACTATTGATATCACACAGGGACGAAATGTAAGCAATCATTGATATCAGGACTATTGATAACTGCTATATTAGGATCTCAACTATCAATAGTTAATGTAGACTTTGGACTGCATGAAAATAGTTGAGGCTTATACAATTACAAATGACATTTCTAACAATTACAAATGACATTTCTATGATTAGATTGATGACTCTTATGAATATGCTTATGATTACACGTGAATGGATGAAATACATATTTTATACAACATTCATAATTCGTTGCATTTGCATTTTATTTTACATGTTTTATACTATTATAACATGTTATTACATGTGTTGTGGACATATACATGAGTTATACATGAGTTATATATGAGCATGCATAATGTTTCTTTTTTATCTATAAAATATTATTTTAGAATTGATTATTTCGCTGAGCTTGTTGTAGCTCACTCTATAGTGTTGATTTTCAGGAAGGGGTAATGAGCACCGAGGCAAGTAGCTAGGTCTAACTTGCACAACTTTTACATTTTATAGCTTTGGGAGCTTGTACAGATTTTTTAGTACAGATTATACATATATTTAGTAAATACATGTACATGTGTTATTTTGGCGAAATATATATATATATATATATATATATAAGACACAAACACACACACAAAATGGCGGCGAGCACTGCTAGGGTTTCGCCCAATGGTGAAACCCAACGTTAACCTCTGGCTTCACTCCATCATCCTCGTCGTGCTACTGTTCCGTAGGCTTCAGACATAGACTCGCACGCTGCTGGCCGAGCTTACGTCCTTGGTCTCTTCGTAGACTGCGCTGTTCTTTGTCGTCGTCTGCGCTCGACTGCATCGGCCGAGCCTTCGCCCCCAGTCGCAAAGTGCGCTCTCGTCT